CTAATGGTATGAATACAACAAACGACATTTAGAAAATCAGTAAACGGAACAAAATGGCTAGAGAAGGTTAATTAAGACTGAAACTAGATGACGAACGACGTAGAGAAACGAATTTTTAGCATGAGAGTAGCACACGCGATTGATAACCAATAGACAATGTATCAATGCAATGGTTGAACTGGCAATTCTATGGAGCCTTTCATGGCCATGAATGGCTTAATAAACGTAATTAGTCGCTTTTAATTTATTAAAGCTGTGGTTCAACAATCAGATGCTGATACTTTGAATCAAGAATAGATTTCTGTTGCGATTGATGACGACATGAGAAATACCGTATAGTTCCGAAAATAAGCACCTCCCCAAAATTTTTACCTTCGAAAATAAACACCTACCCCAAAATGCATCATTAATGCTTTCGCGTTTGTTTCTGTCACTATTAGATCTGTCTAGAAAATTCGATATATTTTTACTAATATGGTATTAATTAACACTAACTGTTCTAAATGTTTCTAATGCATGTGATTTTCTCAATTATGCTTCTGATAATCATTGGCTAAGACATACAGTCTCTCCGAAAAGTAATGGTGGAGGTGTTTTTTTTATTATAAAAAACTTTTTTAACATGATAATTGGTTTCCAAATTTTATTCTTACAACGCAATTAGTATTAGATAGGGTATATACCAGTAAAATTTCAATATTTAGTATGCCCTCCTTCAGCATCAATACATGCTAGAATGTGATCTGGCATACTGGTAATACATGTAAGAACTACCTCACCAGAGATATTTTTCCATTCCTCCTTTACTAATGTAATAAAAGCAGCCTGTGATATTTTTATTTTTCTCTACCTTTTGCTTGAGAATTGCCCAAACAGGTTCAGATGGGCTAGATGATGGCCAAGGCAAAATGTGGCCAGGCAGTTTTAGTTGAAGGTCTGTATGAACTTCTTTTGAAGTATGTTTGGGATCATTGTCTCGCTGGAAAATCCAGTGCTGATTCCCATACATACTGGTTGTATTATTATACAAATTTTTATTAACAAATGTAATCCATATTCTCCACATTCCAGCTTTCCATGTAAGCAAATTGCCCCCCCACACATGAAGTAGTGACATGTCTTGGCAAAGTAGCATTATAACCAAGTCTGGAAAGCTCATCACGGATAGTCTGTTCACCAACCTCCAAACCTGGGTGGGTTTCTTTGAGTCAAGCCTTAATTTCAGCTGCTGTAACAAATGGTTCAAATTTATAATTCTGCCAATCTGGTGTTGCATTTGAGGAGTAATTTTACAGGCGTGACCAGATACAGAGTGGTGAATGTCTGAATTTGCCATTTTATGTGTTGTTCACAGAATTGAAGAGGAATGCTGGTTTTAAGTTTTCCGAGAAATTTCTGTTGGGCTTCAGTAGCCTTGCTTATATAAGGTCTTAACTGCCTCACGGTTTAATTTTATAGAGTTTTCTTTCATTTACAAAGGTAATATTAATATGCTTTATTGATCAATATACGTTTGGCTCAAAGCAATAAAAACAATAATGTGGGATTAGGATTCTACATATACTAGCAGTGACTTAACGGCAGCTAATTCTGTCACAAAATTGTATTACATGGTAAAATATATACCCCGCCATTACTTTTGAGGGGGACTGTACGTAATGGCATTCCGTAAATAGTCAACCATATATTTTATTCATTTAGTCTCACGCAGTATCCTATGAGCTCTATTTTATATACTATGCTATAGGCTGCGTTTACTTATTAAATGAATTGAATAGCCCATGCTATTCTATTCTTTTCTATGCATTGAATAAAAAGTATATATGTTGTATGTAAATCCCGTCAAGGACCCCAAAATAAATAGATGAATGTCGTACGTAAATTCCGTCAAGGACCCCAAAACCGCATTTACATATGTAAATCCGGGATTTACATGGCGACGACGGGATTTACATACGACATATACAAGCATGATAAGTATCTGAACAAACCATTTTATTATGCGTTATGTATATTTCCGCGGTAAATATTAGCTAAAATAATATACTGTATAACATACTAGTTCACCAAATGCTAATAATATGTTGAGAATTTTAACAAGCTAAAAATCATAGCCGAAAGTGGTCTGTACAAATATTAATCTGCATTTTAAAAATAATTTTATAAACAATTCTATAAAAAATTTTCAGTTTTTCGTAAATCTGACCTTGTTAAGACTATGTCAGGGTCCCCCTATTATTAGACGCAATTTATTATTCAAGTAATTTCAAGCTTATTAAACCAAACATCTCAAGAAACGGACAAGTTGTTGAAGAGTAATAAAATTTTAAATGTAAACACTCAAATTTCTTAAACTTGTGTAATTTACCCGGCCTCTATTACTCTTACCCATTTCTTCATAAACTCTTTCATAATTTGTAATGCTTTTCTCTCCTTCAGAGTCTTCACTATCTTGTGAGAGTTGGATCTCCTCAACAAGATCAGTATCATTTATCTCCTGGTTTATGTTGGCCATTGTATGGCAATTACTATTATGCTCTAATGTAGCAAGGTATTGTGAGCTAAAGACAACCTCTTCGTCAGTGATTTGGGACATTTCTTATAGACTATATATTAGTTTTGCTATCAGCAGCAATTTATTATGCTAGAAGTTCAGCTTTCTGTTGACAATTATGACAAACGTACAAATCGATTGATAATCGTATGACTTAGGGTTAATGATCGCAAAAAGATCGGTAACAAACATCACGTGACTTTGTATGATAATAGCTGTAGTTCCGACAAACTATATATGTTGGGGTATTTACTCAGTAATTCAAGAGATATAAATGATTTTGTCAGTGAATCAAAATTCGGTCCAAATTTGGACCGAAAACAGTCTAAGGGATAATAAAAAATTATACTAACCAGTAACAAATGTTGTATGTCGGTTTGGAATTTATGTCCATTCAAAATGGACATATGTCGGATGGGAATTTGTGTCCATTCGGAATGAACATGTATGTCAGATTGGAATCACAAAGACAATCAGGTAACAACATTATAATATTAACTCGACTGCATATAAACATGTTATGATACAAAAAACGACGTACTAAGACTATGAGGGTGGCAGTTTAAGTTACAAATGACAGCAGCTTTGCGACAAGCACATCGAGCCGTTGAACA